ATCGGCTGACAGAACGCAAACGGACAGAACGCAGGTCTAGCTGGGTCACCATGGGCATAACCGGCTGCACCGGACTCAGCTTCGGGCCCAACTTGGCTCCAAAGGTAGAATCCGAGTGGTGTCGGCTTACTTTGGCTTTGCTCTTGTGCGAGATCTTCAAGCCCGAGAGGTCCAGGTGTGTTGGTGGGGCAAAGGGCAGGTCGAAGGAGAGACGAGACTTGGGGCTTCGTTCCATAGGAGAAACAGGGGGTAGGGAGGACTTCCTCTCCGGCACAAGGGGCCTTGTCCGTCCACTCTGGTGAGGAGCATGACCCAGAACCATGGATGTTGGAACGGTTGGGGTTGGCGTTTCAGACTGACTGGAGTAGCCACTGGAGGGAGACATTAGCCCTGTCAACCTCCCTGGGGAAGAGGTTTTCAGACTCATGTCAGCACAGAGGTGAGATGGGGTGGTGGCCCGGGAGACGGAAGGAGATGGGAGGGACTCAGAACTACCACATACCTTGGACAGTTCAATTACAGTAGTCCCAGTAGCAGTGCTGGATCCGGACAAGGAGCAATAAGGATCCCCAGAATTCCATTCAGGCATAAAGCCCTGCTGGGCATATGGCCTGCTCTCCAATTCCCTTGCTGGATCACCTTGGACTTTGCTGTGGACCTGTGCATCGGGCAGCAAATAAAGACTTTTGGGTCTCTGATCCTGGGGCAGTGCCTCACCACTCACTTCTGCTTCGCCGACTTGCCCTTCTTTTATCAAGGAGACGCTGCGCATGGGTGGGCAAGGCTTCTTCTTGGCCTTCTTGAGAGAGATGCTCTTGGTTCGTTGTCGGCGCTGCCTTCGGGCCTCTTGCTCCAGAGCCAGGGAGATGTTGTCTGTGCTGGTGCTCCCCTCCGAGCTGGCACTGGGATAACTAAGGCCACAGGTCTCACTGCCCCCAATGTCCACTGAGCACAGGGAGGCTGTGTCTGTAGGGACAGAAAGTGACCTCTCACGGAATTTGCACATGATTCTCTCCCTCTCCAGTTGGGACGATTCCTCTTCACTTGAGTTGACAAGGGCTGCAGGGACTTTGACGTCTCTCGTTCCACACCTCGAGCTTCCCTCAGCCTCTAAGGGGGACTCTGGAGAAGTGCAAAACGTCCCACACTCATTCACCCCAGCCATATTGTCTTGGCTAATGAAGAAAGAAGAAAGTTGATCTGCCTCTGGAGTGTCCCTGGGTGTGCAAGGAGACATCTGAGACGCGCTCTCTGCTGCCGCCACCTCATTTTGGCTCACAGAAGAGTTGGTGTAGCAGAAGGAGGATGTGCTGCAACCAGGAGAGAAGATGGAGTCCTCTTTGGGACCATTGCACAATGGGCTGGCGTACATCACCTTGGGGTTCTCAGCACGGCCTGCTTGGATTTGGCAACCTCGTCCCTGTAGGACTCCCCCGAGATCACTGAAGGTCTTTCTCAGCTGTGGTCGGGACTGAGGAGACCGGGCTTGGCGAGTGGAGCTCCTTCCATTGACCACATCAGGGACAAAATTGCAAGAGATGGACTCAGCTATGGTGGCCGGTGGGTTGACGATGGGCCCATTGCTATTTCCTAAAGAAGAGTTAGAAAGGCAAGGATGAAACAGAGTAGAGAAGCTCTTTTAAGACCTGTGGACTTCAACTCCCAGAATTCTGTCTGTTCAAGCCAGCCAGGGAATTCTGGGAATTGTAGTCCACAAGTCTTAAAAGCTGCCAGTACCTTGCTTAGATACACAACATGGCGCCGATTAAAGAAAAGAGCCTTTTATTCAGCTTTGGGTGCACCCTAGCCTGCGACGTATATTTTAAATCAACAAATAAAATACATATCTTTACGACTGACCAGCAAAAACCAAAAGAGCAAGGGAGCACAGCTGCCCCACCAGTTGGTCACCTGGATCACGTAGAGAGAGGTGGGGGAAACCAATCACGGTCCGTCTTCGGCGTAGCAAAGACTTGGGATTCATGGCGGTCTCTGTATTGAACAAGGAGTGCCGTGCGCTGGCGTGTCGAGCAAACGGCTGCCCTGGAACCGAGAAAAAAGAGATTCAGTGGTCCAAGCAAAGACTAGGAAGCCCAGAAGATGACAACAGTCAGGAGAGGCAGATGACCTTAACTCGTGTTTCTCAATCTCAGCAGCTTTAAGATGGGTGGTCTTCAATTCCCAGAATTCCCCAGCTGGCTTCAACAGAGAGATGGTTTGCATGTAGGTGTGTAATTGTGACAGGAATGGAGGGACAAAAACCCACCAGCATCCTCTAAAAATCTCAAGCTTTTGCTGTGCCGAGTTTGAATTTATTAGATGCTGATGGTGATAGGACCACAAATGTGGTCCTAACATTACACGCAGTCCTCATTTAATGACCACAGCTGGAACCAGCCACTTGGTCGTTAAGGGAAGAAGTTGCTAAGTGAAACCCTGACTGTATTTTCAATCTTACTTCAGCTTTCCTTTGCTTTACAGACCCGTGAAATGAGAGGACGGGTCACAAAGTTGCTTTTTTTCCATTACCACTCTTGCTGAGAACAGTAGTCACCAAACGAGGCAGCTGCTAAGCAAGGACTCCCTGTACGTGCAACACTCACAAACAAAATACCCAAAATGAGATGGAAGAAATAGTGTGTTCCAATATCTCAGGGGCTGCCCCAAAGAAGAGGGAGTCAAGCTATTCTCCAAGGTGCCTGAAGGCAGGACAAGAAGCAACGGATGGAAACTAATCAAGGAGAGAAGCAACCTAGAACTAAGGAGAAACTTCCTGACAGTTAGAACAATTAATCAGTGGAACAACCTGCCTCCAGAAGTGGTGAATGTTCCAACACTGGAAGTTTTTAAGAAGAGACTGGACAGCCATTTGTCTGAAATGGTGTAGGGTTTCCTGCCTGAGCAGGAGGTTGGACTAGATGACCTCCAAGGTCCCTTCCAACTTTATTATTATTATTGTTGTTTTGTTGTTGTTGTTATTATTAATAATAATAATATTTGAGAAACCCCAGTCGAATGCTCTATAATAATAATAATAATAATAATAATAATAATAATAATAATAATAATAATAATAATAATAATAATAATAATAATAATAAT